TAATCATTACATTACAGCACTGGATTATAGCATAATTTATATGACAAAAATCAATAAACAACTACAAATATGCGTAAGAATAATTTATTCAATAACAATGAACTGTAAATAGGAGGAAAATTGACACAAATTAACGACATGGGATGCAATTCTCTTGTGAATTTCCGGTTGAGAATAGAAGGATGAGGCTACATTATTTTGAATTTTTTAAAAATCAACTCGAAAAGACGGTAACACGAAAAGTTGTTGATGCAACGTTGCAGTCGTGTCATTTCATTCAACATCTTTCTTAAAACTCTCCATTGTGAGATATAATAAAAATAATAATTCTGACCATTATTCGAAATATACATTGTCTAGCTAATGTTAATTTAGAATATGAAATTCTAGACATTTAAAATTATCATATTTTCCAGGCGCTACATCCCATAGCATAATTTTGATGTTTAGAATTGTCAAACGGTTGCATTGTCCAGATATTTAGATAGATGGAACTGTCTGAAATTGATAAATCACAACTTAAAGCCCACGAATTCAATTTTTTTGGACAAAATGTCATGTTATTGGAAAAGAATAAGAAATTTTTAATTGTTAAAGGGTCAACAACTAAAGAGAATTTCCATTTCAAATTCAGATAGTCTTATAGTTGAAAAATAACCTTTGAATCTGGCCATTAGAGCAGCCTACTTTGATTAGGTTCATTTAAGCTAGGAGAACTAGGAAATTTTACCATCTAAATTATTAATAATTAATTTATAATCTTAATATTCAGTAAGTCTATATAATTCAAAACTTGAATAACGGAAATGAAAATTTTATTGATGGAAAAATGACTCAATAAGTATTCAATACCATCATCACCCAGGAACTCGATTTTGTTGGTAGGCAAACTTCATCAGATGATCCGAACTTTGCAATTCCAACTATTTGGACGGTTCACTGACACCGTTACGACAAAAGTCCGATTAATATTTAAATTTGAATTTCTTCTTCTTGTCGTTGCTGGTGCTCTCCTATCCTGAACAATTGGCGGTACTA